TGCATGTCAAATCATTTTCATAAGTTTTTTTTTATGTGCACTAGTTTTCATCTCCTACTTTGATTGTACCATCTCTTTAAAAGCATTACCTACTTTCTTTGCATCCCATGCTCAATTTTTTTAGTCATTTTTTTTTCTTTTTTTAATCTGACCATTTTCCACAATAAAATTAACTTAATTTAACTGGAAAATCACTAAAATCCCGAGTGCTTGGCCTAGGCTATGAAACCTTAGAAGATAAGTCTTTCAAGTCCCTAAACCGCAGGGGTAAAAGAAGAATAATTTCAATAATTCCCGATTCGACATTTTTGTGAACCTTTGTGGTCCTACCTTCAATTAATTGCGAATTTCTATAATCATGAAAAAGTCTTTCATTGTTATCCTTTCTTTCCACTAAAAAAATAATAAAATGAAAGAAACAATTTTTTTATTTAAGAGATACTTTTTCATTTCCCGCTAATTTTTATTATATGTTTATCACCACTCAAACTATTGATACTGATAATGCTCTTATATGAAATGACAGGTATATATTTCAAACAATATGGGATTCAATGCACCACGGAACAAGCATGGAAGTAATGGAGGGCGATGGACATCAATTAACCCCATTTGCTTTGAAAAATGTGAATCTATGAAGGATATGTACTATCGTCTCAAGACACAAGGGTTCATTGAAGCAAAACATTATAATTGTATTTTTCCATCTCCCAAAGTAAACATGGGGAAATACTGCTCTTACTGCCACGACTACGGGCATGACATAGAAGGTTGCTTCGATGTGACACATGTGGTGCAACAACTAATTGATGACGAAAAGATCCCAATCCTAAAAGGATGGATCCCACCTATATTATCCTTCACTAATGCCGATTTACCAAGGGTCATCAATTTTAGCCAACCCTTGTGTGTTACTTTGGGGTGTAATTATCGTCGGATTTCAGGCATTTTGGTTGATAACAAATCGAATTTTAACATTTGCTCTAAAGAGTCCTTATGTAAGTTAAGACAAAAAAGTGTGCCTTTGGGAATTTCTAATGCAATCATAATTACACATGGTCACGTCCCGAGAAAGGAAATAGGGACCATTAATATGCAACTACGACATGAAGATTGGTTATGTGATGTAGAGTTTCAAGTGGTTGAAGCTCCTATCAACTTTCCTCTTATTTTGGGAAAACCATGGCTCCACGACACTCAAGCTATTGCTTCTTCTCTTCATCAAAAAGTAAAATTCTCAACACCAAAAGGAGTGATGGTTATCCATGGTGATATACCAACGGCAAGGATGCCCCTAGTATACTGTAACGTGGTCAGGTCAATAGAAAACCCAACACTTCAACATAATCAGTTGAAATCTCGAAATAGGGGCAATGCGATGTCATTATGGGAGTTGATCTCTGACTCACCAACTCATCTAGATGCCCTCATTCGTCAATTAAAGACAATCACCATTGATCTATTTGAGGAATCAACTAACACCAAAGCATTTATGTCCAAGGACATACTATGCAATCGAGAACACTCTTTCGGTAATTGAGCTAGATTTTGCTATCCTAAAGGCAAAATCATCAAAAGATGAGAAGGATTGTCCTAAAGTATCTGCTATTGGTAATTCAGGAATGAGTCGCAACCATTTTGATCTCCACCGACCATATTTTGATCAATTGGTTGATTCATTTGACACCATACTACCCGAACATGAATCTTATGCTAGTGTTCTGTGTCATGGGAATAGGCTCAGTGAATCTTTAATGATTCTCCAACGTCAAACCAATCATCAAGAATGGACATTCATCGAAGCTGATTTACCCCCAAACCCATGACATACGCGAGAACTACACATCACGCTAAGACATGGACGAAGCTACATAAATCACATATTGGTCGACAATGGGTCTGCATTAGACATATGCTCTCGAGAATTCCTTTATAGGTTGGGATACACGGATTCTTTTATCAATCCTTTGTCTTACAAAATCCTTGGTTTTGATGATACTCCACGAGAAGTAACTAGGTACATCATTTTGCCTTTAAGTTAAGAGACCATGGTTTTCTCTATCAGATTTATGGTCATCAATTGTCCGACTTCATATAACCTACTCTTAGGACGACCTTGGCTACACGAGTATAAAGGGGCCGCATCGACTCTCCATCAAAAAGTAAAGTTGGTGACGCCACTTGGAGTAATTACCATTCCCGAAGACTTTACAAACGAAGCGTATAGTTGAGGATGGATCAACCCTCAAAGGTATAGTGTGGGCAATATCTTCATTTTGATGGAAAGTAAACAACCTAATCTGTATGAAAAGATGCAAAGGGATTCTACAACGACATCAAGCAAAACAAGGGTTTACCACATCGAAGTTACAAGCCTTGAAATAAAAAAAACGCCATCGACGAACTATTTTATGTATTATGTATTTATTTTCCAGTTAAAAAAAAAGTATGATTAGTAGTAAGAGAACCAAAAAAAATATAATAGTAATGAGGAATAATAACATGTTTCCTAGAGCTACGTTTGGACCTGATTCCCGAAGAACATCCTTGTTTCGGGATACGTAGGCAGCCTTCGGGCGCGGCCTTTGCACTTATCGATTTTTTGTTGTTTTAGGATTCGCGGTGCTAAAGCTTTGACAATTGACGTTACCATCATAATAACATCTTCATATGTAACAGGGACACATGCCCTATTTCTATTTCAGTCTCTCTTTATAAATACTTTTTGCAAAGCGGGAAATGAAAAAGCAGAAAGAACTTTTTGACAATGATTAAGTAATTCGCGATTATACCCCATTGTTGAACCAATCCTCCTTTTTTTAATAAAAAAAAATGTCTTTAGGATGGCCAAACCCGTACTTAATTTAGATAATTCATTTACATAAAATGAAATTCTTTATTCATTCATTATTGACCAAAGTACATGTGTTAAGTGGACCAAGAGCTAATAAAGACCAATTAGAATTTTAGTGGAGGGAGGAATTTTAAACTCTTCATGATGACCCCAGGGGAATCTTTGACAGTACTCAGCAAGAAATAAAGCCCCTTTTAGATCCTCCTGCAAGAAATGTCGTATACTAATCTCCCAATCATGTGAGCACATCATTTGGAGTATGTCGCATAACATTAACTCAACCTCTGTGGTGGAGATGTCTAAACTTGCCAAGACTAGATTATAAATGCCAACATCTACCAACACTTCCAAATGCTTTACTCGTAGCAGGCGAGCCTTTTTTAAACCTTGTTGTAGTAATGATAAGACAAAGAGTGATAGGCCAGGCCCTTTAACTTTAGAACCGAAACCGACCAACAAGTTCTCCTCAGCATTCCGTAATGTGAACCCACCCCTACTTTTGAATGCACCATCGGAGATAGCTGCAAAGGAGAGCGTGTAAGGTTTTGAGTGCACCCAAGGATTAGTTATTCGTGCCCTTGAAAATATGTCCATTAAAGAAAAAATACCCCTTTTGGCCTATTATCCATAATGTTTCGGCAATCACGAATGAAGGAATTCTGGATTCAGGTATTTTTTGGAGGAAATTTTCTTTAAAACGCAAATAGCTCGATGGCCCACCCATTGCTGCGTTTAAGCGATCATGAGAAGCAAAATCCGATAACTTTAACCAGGCCTGGTTAGCTGAACTTTGGCTCGGACCCTTCCCTTCTCGTAATGGAACCTCTAAGGAAGTCCTACGATGCGAAACATAGGCAGATAAACTTTTTGAATCTGCAGTCACTTGGTTCATAGAAAAGAAACATGTTTCGCCCCATAAGAATAAGATTAGTGGGAGAGAGCCGGACCCGTGGAAGACTGAGTATGTTCGAATACCAAAACCCTTAGCCACCTCTTCGCCTATTCTAGGGTCCGAAAGAAGAAGCACAAAACAAGTAGGTTGGTATGTTTTGAGTAGCGTGAGGAGATGACCGGGAAGTCGAGTCATAGGTTGATCTCGAACATCCCACAACAACAACCTAAGTGCCCTAGGACTCGTAAGGTTGACGGGTAATGGGGATGTAGAGCTAGAACTCTCTCCGGAGTTATGAGGAAAAGGGAGTGTTTTGTGACTTATGATGGCCAAAATAGAGTAAGTCAAGCATAAAGGAAATTGTAGACTTAGAGACATGGCTAAAACCGCAGTGTCTGCCACAATTAGAACTAAGGACTCTGAAGGATCACTCATACGAAATGTTTGAGAGAAATTACCTACCAAAACAGGCCTCACCAAAGGGGTAGGAGAAGTAGTTGTGGGGAGAATTTGGTTAGAAAATCCCGTAGGAGAATCAACGACTAAGCGGTCCTCCAGCGACATGGAAGCAAGAACTGCTTCATTTTCCCTATCCCTTAAGTTTTGAAGAGAAGGAGTAGGGTCTTCTGAGAAAAATTGGATTAACCTCCTCACACGGGATGAACGAGAACTTTGAGGAGGCAAGTTGAGATCCATGGGAAATATTCCTATATAGTAAAAAAGGGTTTTTTTTTATGAGTTTTTTTTTTATCGTGTAGTTTAAGGAGGGATAAGGTTACATTATGTGTAAGGTAAGTGATGAACTTATATATAGGCTAGATTTTGTACTGGACCCACCGATAGCGTGTCACGAAATTCAAGACATAAGGAGATAACAAACAAAATCTCCAAACTTCTAACACAAGCTAGAGGAAAACCTATGAACCCCGACAAAACTTCTTTTTTTTTTTGGAAAAGGGGAATCTTTTCAAATAAGTTTATATAATCATATTAATTGGTATTTTAGGTGTTCATATCTCAGTTAAATATTCATTAGTCGTATTTTTTTTTTTATATTTATCATGAATACTAACATCTTTCCTTTTTTCCTTTCTTATCACATTATCATGTCATTTTCGTTAACAGGAGTTCTATATGGACACGTGCTGGATCTTGACTTGTTCGCCAAGCCCCTTTAATTGTAGAAGATCCCTTTCTGCAGAGTTCTCCCCTTGCCCGATACCAGTCATATTCTCCTCTCCCAGCTGTAGTAGCATGGCTGGAACTTCAAACAATGAGCAACAAAATTCGAGCTTCAGCTTAGATCCTTTCGTGGAACTTAAGGGGATGATGCAAGCCATAATCGAACGACAAGTTACTGTAGAGCAAACTGTGGTGAATTTCATAAAACAAAACACACAGATGCATCCTAATGTGCCAGAATCGGAGGTAGCCTCACCATTCCCACTGGAAGTTGGAAACAATGACAGGGATATTCCCACCAAGATTGAAGAGGAAATGACCAGGATGAAAGAAGTGTTGAAAGGTATCACTCAAGCCGAACCATGGATGGACATCCATGGGCTAACTCTCTTTCCTAAAGCGCGCCTCCCATATGGTTTTAAGATGCCTGTCCTTTCACACTTTGACGGAACAGGAAGTCCTACCAACTTCTTAAAACTCTATGTTGGCGCTATGAGCCCTTGGGGTGTAGATGAACCATTGATGGCTCAGTTATTTCAACAATATCTTGATGGAGCTGCTTCACATTGGTTTTTGAATCTGGAAAATTCAAAGAAATCCACTTGGGCCGACATAGTGAGAGAGTTTTCCAACCAATATAAATACAATGAGGAAATTGATATCACGAGAAGGGATTTGGAGACAACTACACAGAATATTAATGAAACATTTTCTTCCTTCATTACTAGATGGAGAAATAAAGCAGCTAAAATGATAAATAGGCCGAATGAAGAAGAGCAATTGCAGATGATTGTGAAAAATCTCGTTCCTGTATATCAAAAGCAGATGGCTTATCAATACTTCCCCTCTTTTAAAGCTCTTATCTCAACTGGGTCATTGGTTGAAGACGCCATAAATAAGGGAGAGATCAAGAAGGAAGACTTTAATAATGTCAAATCATATAGTTCAAGGTTCGGGGCCAATAAGAAGATCACCAATAATGATGCATCTGCTTCAAAGCCTACCAACATGATATACAACATTGGGGCAACCTCGACATTTCAACTCCGACCCCAAAGAGAATTCACTCCTTTAAATATGACATATGCCCATGCATTCTCCAAACTAAAAAAGGCTAATCTCATCCAACCTTTGAACCTAAGACCTCCACCAAGGAACCCGCCACCAACGTACAACCCAAAAAAACATTGTGAATTTCATCAAGGAGTCGGGCACGACATTGAAAGTTGTACGACATTCAAGCATCGACTACAAGACTTGATAGATGGTGGAAGGATCTCTGTTGGAACCTTAGCCAACAAACCAAATAACACGCAACCTAGCATCACAAATAACCCCCTTCAAAATCACAAACCCCCTACCTCCATAAATGCCATCTCTACCTACACAAATGATTTTGACCCAACCCAATCGATCACCAGAAATGAATCTTGTGAATGTGAAGCACCAGTGACTGAAATAGGCAGGTGTCTAGATAATGAACTTGCTTCTCATAGAATCATCAAGACAAGGGGTCACAACTATACCCTCCGCAAGGATCCTTTTGCTATGATGTGTGGGGCTATAGATTACGACAATGCATACTTTATATTGGATCGTGAGGAAGATGAAGATGCTGCATCTGTAATGGCTATTGTTGAAAGAAACACGGGAGCTTATTTCTCCACTCCAAACAACTATAGGCACCCTATATGCCTTGATGACCTTAGTGATGATGAAGTAGTGGAAGTATCCCATTTAACTCGAGCAGGTCGACACTTCAAGCCCTCTTACCTTGAAGAAGATAATCCATTAGATGCTTTACGAAGAAAAGAAAAAGGGAAAGAACTAATGGTAGATGAAGTTAACATAGAAGATGATGCTATCAAGCGAATGAAGGAGGTCAATGCTAATGTTTCTATATGGAAGTTGCTTATGCACTCGCAACCTGTTCGAAACGCGGTCCTTAAGCATTTGAATGGAGCTTCAGTTGACCCCTCTATTACTCCAGATCAAATTGTAGGCCTTATTCATGGTGTAGACCGTACTCTCATGTTCACGGACGAAGATCTCCCTAAAGTTTCAAACCATAATAATTCATTACACATCACTGTTCGATGCAATGGATGGACGATACCTAGAGTTCTTGTGGATAACGGATCTGCAATTAATGTATGTCCCTATCGAGTGCTCACTAAGCTTGGTCATTCAAAAGATGATTTGGCACCATCAAGCCAAGTGGTTCGAGCCTATGACAAGCCACCAGAGAAGTTTTGGGTTCCATCGAATTACTTATAGAATATGGCCCAATGGCTAGGAAAGTAGACTTCACAGTGATTGACATCAAAGCATGCTTTAACTTCTTGCTAGAAAGACCTTGGTTACATGAAAACAAGGCTGTAGCCTCAACGTTACATCAAAAAGTGAAATTAATGACCAATCAAGGAGCGGTAACCATCCCCGGAGATCCAGATATCATGAACATCTTACCTATCGGGAAATCTGTGCTACACCTAGATGAAGAAGAAGGGAGTCACTTGGATGGTTTTAATGTCTTTTGCATTCAAAGTGGTGGGTGGATAGAGGTATCTGATGAGGATAGTAATGAAGAACCAGAGGACCCAATTGAGATCCCAGAAGAAGGCGATGAACCTCTGTATCAAGAAAAGGAAGAAGAACCTAGAACCCCAGAGGACAGAATTAACAATGAGCAACAAGAACGAGAAGGAGAGTCGTGGACTAGCAGTGATAGTCATGCAAATAGCAATGACGCACGCGATGAATTTTATTTAGATTTTGATGTTCCAATGTTTAGAGTGACAATTTGCCCAGAAAAATTAATTTTGTTTCCGGGCTATAAACATGAACCAAGATATCAAGATCTACCAAAATTAGAAAAATTTAATGGCACAGGTGACCCAATGATCCATCTCTGTAAGTGCGTTAATGTCCTTGCTCCCTTGGATTTCCAGAAGAACACCTCCCTACATTATTTGATCGTAGCTTGGAAGGTGCATCGTTATCTTGGTATTACAGTTTTGAACGCATTGGTGAAGCAACTTGGAATGAGATATCACAAGCTTTTGTTAATTGGGCTTATAATTTTAGTCAAACGGACCCTCAGAAATTGGTCTTAGTCACAACCCTACAGACAAATCAAGAAACTTTCTCTCACTTCTGCTCTCGATGTTTTTGTTGTACGATCCAAGCTCCGAAATCCTATCACAGATAAAGAGTTTATGCTCATCATGCTTAAGAACCTTAATGATTTCTATTACCGTCAAATGGTTACAATGAGATACAATATTCTTGGGCATAAGGAACAACATGGGTTCGATATCAACACATACAAATTACTAGACCATAGACCAAGGGTCAATCCATGTGCCGAAACATCTAACAGAAGATCATTTACAGAAATTAATGAGCCTCTAAGTGCGGTGTATCGTCTTTTGCACAGGCAAGGCTTTATAAGAACAAAGGGATACGTATGTGCAATCCCGCCACCTGAAGTAAGTATGGAGAGATACTGTAGTTATTGCAGTCAGTTTGGCCATACAACTTATTCATGTTATGATCTTCGATGCTCTATCCAAGACCTCATTGATCGTAGGATAATCGACCCAATCCACACAAGGCCTAGGACTGGACACAATCTTGTGCGACGTTTTTCATCGCAACAATGGTCGTCTCAATCTGCAATCTTTCGAGGATTACTCGATGAAGGCGCTATTAAACCACTTCCTCGACGATCTGGAGCCAACCCTATTGGAGTAGACCTCCACAAATATTGTCATTATCACCAACTTCACGGTCACGACACCGATGGATGTCACGCTCTTCGCTTGCGCATCAAACATATCACCAAGATATCACATTTGAGTCGTAAAAGGTCAATACCATTAATGTCTTATCAACTTCTTATGATGAAGAAGACCCTACGAATCTCATGACATACGATCCTCTAAGTGAAGAAATGGGACGGATGAATGTGAATGAACGATTATCTCCAGCACCACAATCCGATGGATCATCCAGTGATGAAGAACCCTTTTGGATGAAAGATGAGGAATTTGTCGTGACTGCGGATGGAGAAGATACATCCGCAACAAAAGTAGCTTCTATTCAATCAATCATGGAGCCACATATCTTTCTAAGACGGATCGACAACGAAACCAAGAAAGCATGTACTCAAGTATGTAAAGCATGGGCTAGATGGTTGTATAAAATGAAGCAGGATGGTTATGATGAAGAACCTAGCAAAGGTTCAGGACATTAACAAAGAAATAATCATGATCCACACTTCCGTTCATTCTTAGCCAACCTCGTTTAAACGCAACTTCTAGAAAAACCCACAAAAAAAAACCAAAAAATAGAAAAACCCACAAAAAAACCAAAAAAAATAGAAAAACCCACAAAAAACCAAAAAAATAAGAAAAACCCACAACAAGAAAAACCAAAAAATAGAAAAACCCACAACAAAAAAAAAAAAAAACCAAAAAAATAAAAAATCCACAAAAATGCCTCCTTTTACTACCCTAAGAACTACGTGCAGCTTGATCCCCCATGGCACACTATAACACTGAAACTCTTATAATCACCATACTCTTCATTACTTTCTTTTCTCACCACGCCATTGGGGATACGTAGGCAACTCAGGCACGAGTTCAGCTGCTTAAACACAAAACCAACCTTCCACTTTATATGTGTATTGCAAACAAAATAGAGATTATGCAGAATTTGGACCCGTACAAGGAGATACGCAAGCACGTAAGAAAATTGTTGAGTTTCTTGACATCCACCGAAGAAAATTATTAAAGGGATACAGGCCCATGTTATACATCTTTGTCCTTTATTTTATGTTATTTTATTTTCAAAGTTGGTATAACATGAGAGATGAACACCTATAAACCCTTTTCTTAAATCAGATCACTTCCCCTTATTGATTAATCATAATACATCTCCGTGTTTACATACCAAAATGGTTTCAGTAGCATGGTTGAATGTCAAACAATGAGCGAGTTCTAACATCTTGGGTACCTTGTATGTAAAGAAGCATCTAATCTAACACCTTAATCAACGACCCTTACTGACCTTTTCTTTCCTTTATCAAAACGTCATTTACTTTTTTTCCAAACAAAAAATTCATATATATGCATTTCTTAAGTTTCTTTTTTTTTAAAAAAAAGAAAATTTCTTATTTGGCATATGAATTTGCATGATTCATACATATCTTTTCTTTCCAACTTTGGTTGACTTTAATACCCCTTATATAGGTAACCACCCAGGGTAAACAGACGTCTGATTTGGAAGCCTTCTCTTTACAAATATGACCAATCCCTCTCAACAAACCAACCTTTCAGGCCGACTAGAAAATCCCATCCTAAAAAACCAAGGTTTGATGCCCCAGCAACTTACTAAGGGTCAACAATTAATGATGAAAATAGGTCATATACCTGGTCAAGGTTTAGGTCGAAACAATGAAGGAAGGAGGGACCCTATCCCCATCATTGACAAGAAGAATCGCCATGGTTTAGGATATGATCCTAGCCACGAATTTCACACTCACAAAAGATCATCTTTAACACTCAATGGACAGTTCGTTTTACAAAATGATACCGAGCCATATCATGAATTCCCTGAGCCGTGGTATGACTTTGCCTCACAAAAAATACTCCCTGGACTGGAAATCTTCTTCGCTGAGGCTAGATACGAGGATGTGGTAGAAAAGTGGTTTTACGAGAAGCCTAAACAAAAGGAATACATTGATTGGATAGAGTACTTGAAGCATGGTGTTCTGAGAAATTAATTTTCTACAAAATTTGGAGATATTGAAGTCATAGATCCATTATCATTCATAGTACCAGTTGAGGGTGATGTTCAACTCCAAATGAAAACCGAAAAGACTCAAAACCAACCCTACCTAAAAGACCCTTCCCTTAAACTTTTTTCAAAAACGAATGAGATTCATTTCTCCCACTCAGATGGCTATGAAATGGATAGTTCTTAATCCAACCAACTTTCCCTCCACACATAATCTGACTTTTCTGATCATGAAGACTTTCAAGCTCTTGTAGAATCTAAACATGTTTGTATGCAAGAAATTAATGTTGATTATCATGAGTTATCTGACAATGAATCTTTCAATGAGCCTAAATCATGCATGACACCTATAGAAGAGTCCATAGTCATAGATATAGGCATAGAAGGTGACATAAGAGAGGTTAGATTAGGATCTTCCCTCTCCCCTGAAGAACAAGTTGCATTCATTTCATTACTTAAAGACTATGTAGATGTGTTTGCATGGTCATACGCCGATATGCCAGGTGTGGAACGTAACATAGCTGAACATCGTATTCCTCTCTATCCAGACAGCAAGCCAAAACAACAAAAGTTGCAAAGAATGAAGCCAGAAGTCAGTCTTAAGGTCAAAGAGGAGATCCAGAAGCAGCTTGATGAAAAATTCATTCGACCAATTAAACACCCCGAATGGTTGGCTAATGTGGTGATAGTTCCCAAAAAGAAAGGAAAGGTTTGAGTATGCATAGACTTCAGAGATTTAAATGCAGCATCGCCAAAAGATTATTTCCCACTGCCCCACATAGATGTCTTGGTGGATAGTACTGCGGGACATGCAATGTTCTCATTCATGGATGGTTTTTCAGGCTATAATCAAATACTGATGGCGATGGACGATACACCAAAAACATCGTTTATTACCCCATGGGGGACATTTTGCTACAAGCGATGCCCTTCGGACTAAAAAATGCTGGGGCTACTTATCAACGTGCTGCAACAACCATCCTACATGACCTCATTCATGACACTGTTGAAGTGTATGTGGATGATATGATTGTTAAAAGCCATGACCGTATGGAACACATATAGGCATTGAAGTCTTTCTTCGATAGAATTCGAAAATACAACTTAAGATTAAACCCCCAGAAATGTGTGTTTGGGGTAACTTCCGGAAAACTTCTAGGATTTATTGTAAGTCAAGAAGGAATCAAGGTTGATTCAGATAAGGTTAAGGCCATTAAGGAATTTCTTCCTCCAAAGAATGAAAAAGAAATAAGAGGTTTTTTTGGGAAGAATTTAGTACATCAGCAGGTTCATATCACAACTTACAACTAGATGTAAACCAATCTTCAAACTTCTTCGGAAAAATGTGCCAAAAAAGTGGAATGATGAGTGTCAAGCTTCATTTGATTCAATGAAAAATTATCTTTCTAATCCTCCAGTTTTGATGCCACCCAAGCCCGGGGAACCTTTGCTCTTGTACCTTACAGTGACAGAAACTGCCATGGGTGGATTGTTGGCGCAATATCAAGAAGGTACCAAGAAAGAAATTGCTATTTATTATCTAAGCAAAAAGTTCTTAGAATATGAGACTAGATATTCTCCCTTAGAAAGGGCATGCATCGCTCTAATCTACGCTACAAAAAAGCTCCGACATTATCTACAAGCTCATACAACACTCCTTACCTCAAGATTAGACCCTATCAAATATATCTTTGAGAAACCTATTCTGAGTAAAAGATTTGCGAGATGGCATGCTACTCTCTCAGAATTCGATATTCAATGTGTTAGTCAAAAATCTGTTAAAGGGAGAGCCATATCTGAAGCGTTAGCTGATGGGCCTATATCAGGAGATGAATTCGATAATGACTTTCCGGATGAACATTTATTCAATATCAATACATCACAATGGAATATGTACTTTGATGGAGCATCTAATAAAAGGGGGAATGGTGCAGGTGTGTTACTTATTGATCCCTTTTCAATAAAACTTAGTTTTCCAACAACCAATAACACCGCTGAATATGAAGCTTGCATCTACGGTGTAAAGGCAGCCTTAGTAGCAGGGGCAAGAAATCTTATAGTATATGGTGATTCAAACCTCATTATATCTCAGACAATTGGAGTGTGGAGGGTTCGAGATGAAAGGTTGCAAATGTATACTGACCATCTCCAACAACTTATCCCCTGCTTTGAGGAAATCGATTTCAAACATCTCCCTCGAGAACAAAATAGTTTCACTGACGCGCTAGCAAATCTGGCAGTAAATTTAACCTGGGAAGATAACGTTAAAGTTCGGTATGTAACTATAGAAGAAAAAAGTTCCCCAGTGATCATGGATGAAGAAATGATCGCATCATTAACTATACGAGACGAAAAGGACACTTGGTATAGCGACATAAAAAATTTCTTGGCCACTCGGGAATATCCCGAAGGGAGTCATAAAAAAGATCAACTTGCAATTCGATGGCTAGCCACTCACTTTGTGATATTAAAAGATCAATTGTATCATAAAGGTTTTGATGGAGCCTTGCAACTATGCATTCATGGTGAACAAGTCCGAAAGGTCATGGAAGAAATCCATGGAGGAGAATGCGGACCACATATGAACCGAAGAATGTTGGCTCGTAAGATTTTGCGAGCCGGGTATTATTGGACCATCTTGGAGACAGATTGCATACACTTTGTAAGGACTTGTAAGAAGTGTCAAGTCTTTGCAAATCTCAACCATACCCGTCTCACTACATAATTTCACTTCACTGTGGCCATTCTCAAGTTGGGGCATCGACATCATTGAACAAATTCATCCGAAAGCTTCAAATGGGCATCAATACATTTTAGTAGCGATTGATTATTTTTCAAAATGGATTGAACCAGCATCATTTTCCAAATTAGGTGCAAAACAAGTCTCAAAATTCATGATAAACAACATTTTTGTCGCTATGAAGTACCTTTTGAAATGATTTCGGACAATAGGTCGCAATTCATCTGAAAGCTTCAAATGAGCATCAATCTTCTCATTATCGCCCTCAAACCAACGGAGCAGTTGAAGCAGCCAATAAGACCATTCGGAAAATAATCGCAAAAATGACTGAAAAGACAAGGGAATGGCCTGACAAGTTGCCGTATGCTCTTTGGGGGTATAGAATCTCTATTCGAACCCCAACAGGAACTACTCCTTACTCCTTGGTGTATGGGATGGAACCCATCCTACCCATAGAAATCGAAATTCAATCCTTACGTGTCATGAATGAAAGTGAAATCTCTGAAGATCAATGGCTCAAACTTCGGACTGATGAACTTGCCTTAGCAAATGAACGAAGGTTACAGGCTCTTCACAATACCCAACTTTACCAACGACGCATTGCTCGAGCCTTCAACAAAAAAGTTCGAGATAGAGACATCCATGAGGGTGATTTGGTGCTAAAAGAAAACTGCGCTCCTCTTCATGATCCTCGGGGTAAATTTAAACCAAATTGGTCAGGACCATTCTTGGTCAAACACATCACTCCTGTCAGGGCAGTAAAGTTAGTCAATATGAATGGTGATACTTTCCTCCACTTCACCAATCTTGATTAACTCAAAAAGTATTACTCTTAGTATCCATACCCAAGTCAATAAGGGTAAAAAAAAAGAAAAGGGAAATTACTCGTCAATGTATGACATTCAATCAATCTAAGGGTTGCATACGAATTACAATTTTTATAATCTCGTCTCCTTTAGATATATCGATTGTATATTTAGGCTTTAATGTCATTGTCTAAACTTTGGACCTCCATTTACGGTTAAAATACATGATTGGGCTCATAAAATGATATATTCTAAATCATGATCTCGTGATCATAAACTTTATATTTCAAGTGAAAAATGTCAAAGTTTAGAGCAATATTTGAGTCGAATTTTAAAGAAAAACTTCATTCCAATGAGAAATTCCAACCTTAAAAACACAATGTTACATAAGATGACATTCAATCCTAATTCGGCGCTTCAAATGCCCATAGTTGCTAAGGAAACCCTAGACTTATTACGTGAAAAGTTCAAGTGCAAAAAAAAAAAATAAAAAAATAAAAAAAGAAAAAGAAAAAAGGGCATTTGAATCTTTCCATTCTTGACTTTATCATTTCTCTTCCTTAATCCTCTTCGAATTGCTGATCGAGGGTTCATCCTCTATCTTTGGCCTTTTAAAAGAACCCACATCTTTGAGAAGCCACCCTTCATAATAAACATCAATAGTCAGATCACCGGGAGAAATGGAATTTTCTTAACCCGATCCCAAACTTTGAACAGATCCCTAAACATGTTGGTATCTATCCAATGAGTAGTACATTCATCAGTGGGAAGATCCTTTAGGAAGGTTTGCCGCTGCCCGAGCTGTCGAAGACACCTCCACGGATAATAAAAAGTTATCTTGTTGATACTTGGAAGCACTACACCCCTTTTGTTAGCAGTACTATATATGAATTCTTTGATCCCCAAATGAGAGGTTACCCATTGGATTTCACCTTCAAGGGTAAAGCTCCAAGCATTACTTTTCTTTACCTTATGATATGAGGGTGAACAACCCCTACTAAGGATAATCTTAGGATGGTACTTGATTTCGTTTAAAGGTTTCACCAACTTAAACTTCTCCATCAACCACAAGTGAAGCACCAGTGGGCTCCCCTTCATGAAGGTGTATGGATGTTCCTTTTGATGATCAAGACTAAGGACCAATTCCCCAAAGATCAATGGCCCTAATCGGCCCCCATAAACAATTTGTAGTGCATAGCTAGCTACATTGTTATGACACAACCCAAGATCTTCCTTGAACAACAAAAGACCCATGAGGGCAATCAAGCATGCTCGACTTCGTGCCGAGCCATATAAAATATCAAGTTTAAGACTGGTACCTTTTGCTTTAAAAGGTTCGAGGGCACAATTGATAAGGATGGAATATTCATGATGGAAAGTCATACCATCATGATAAGATATGCCTAAAGCCTCATGTAAATAACCACTAGTAGAAGTACACTTTCTTGTTGTAACCAATGGTCCACTCATGGAAAAACCCAAGAGGCCTTCAATTTCTTCTACCATTGGAACCATCTCCCCACCTTTAAACCTAAAAACATGCTTTTTCTCATCCCAATATTTAGTAGAAGCATAAATAAGGTCATAGCAAAGTGGAAGTTTGAGAAGAGGAAGAAGGGAATCAAAGAAGATTTTTGCATAACTTTCCTCTCCTAAAGCAACCTCTACCCCCATGGAAAATAAAGTGTTTTTGTAGTCTACTTCATTGAATTTATTCAAGTAGTTGGGTTCTTTTCCTTTCATATCCATAATTTTGAAAGAAAATTTGAGGAAAAGGAGGAAAGGAAAACAAGAAAGACTAAGTATTCTTGTTTCAAAGGAGAATAGAAGTGGATGATTATGATCACCCAAACTCATGTCTTATATAGGCAAGCAAAAACCCCACCTTACATTGAAACACCTATAAGCTTTCATGCATTTAGTCCCACCACAACATTCCATTTTTCTTCATGCAAGCTTTACTTACATGCATGTGTTATGACAACAATCAATTGTTTTTTTTTACTCCATATTCTCATGGTTGAAGTACCCGTGAAACTTGCTTTTTTGTACATGAATAGGATAGTAAAAAAAAATCAAATTAATCCTATGAATGTCTTTTTAGCCAGTTTTACGGTTGCACTTTGATATGCCTCAAGCTGTTTATTATATCCGTCCTACATGAAATCTTTCAAGTCGTTTTTTTAACCGTAAGTATTGAACGATTAAGTTCTTTATCGAAGTTTCCAAAGCTGGTTTTTCAACCACGACTGATCAATGGATCAAAACTTTCATGCCGGTATTTCAACCGCAACCAAGACTCCCAAAGCTGGGTTTTCAACCACACTTGATCATTGGTTAATCGACCAAGACTTTTTAAGCCGGTTTTTCAACCGCAATAGAGATTTTTCAAAGCTGGTTTTTCAACCACAACTGATTATTAATCAATTATTCAAAATTTTTAAGCCAGTTTTTCAACTGCAAATAATTGACAATTAAGTTTTAAAAACAATCAATACGCCGTATTTGACCCGCAAATATTCTCACGCCATATTTAAGCAAATGCTCGATGATTATTAGCATTTTGTTTTACTTTACTCTAGTTTTTTATAAAATCTATTTAAGGATCAAAATTTACTATCTTTTTCTAATCATTGATCATCGTTTGTTCCAAACTCGATCAATGAGGGGCATTCTGTAGACACCAAATTTTGATCCCCTATTTTCCATAATTTTTTTTTACATTCAATTAACTAATAAATTTTGTGTAATTTCATAATTATAATAACAAAATTTAATTTTGCTAACCACAACCGCAATAATTAGACATAAGAGACAAGTTCAAGTAGTGTTTATTTATAATTTTGGAGTATACAAAACCCTTACAATTTGTACTCCTAATTTACAAACAAAACACGAGGCTAATTTGTAGCATAACTCGAACCTTTTACACTCCATGCCGGAAACTTCAAGTCGCCATTTATTCATGATTATGAAAATCATTAACGCCATTAGTAGTACCACTAACACCATAATCAAAGCTAGATATAAATTTAGCACTCGAAAATGCTCGTCGAATGGAGATGGAGCTTCACGGTTTTGGTTGCCGGGAGCCATGGAAACCGAAGAGGAAAAGGCAAGGGGTGTGTTTTTTTGAGTAAAGGTGATTTCGGATAAGGGAAATCTCCCTTTTATAGGGGATAAATCGATCTTATCCGTATTTTATCATATCCTAATCGTGTAATTGTTTAGTCTAATAATATTAGTAAGTGTATCTTTTAAAAATAACATAAAATAAAAATAATGTGTTACCACTGACATATGTAACACTTATTTCGTTTGACATATCCTGATCGAGAATATCAAATATTGACCCTTTAATCTGTACAATTTTAAAACCGTGACCGTTTCTAAAGTATCACTTTCTAACCCCGGATAAAAGTTTAGTACTAACTGATTTTATGTATCCTATTTCTATTATTATTATTCTAATATTTTCAATCATCTTTTTCTTTTTTTTTTAAAAAAAAAAAAAGAAAAATACAAATCATAAAGGACAAATTAGCATATTTTGATTATGTAAAAGAATCCAAGCATGCATGCATACTAAGCTATTACCAATACCCAAGGTCACGGTTTAATACAATAATAAGATAATAATAAGACACAAAACATGCATGAAATGCATGTAATGTAATTGGCAAATGCCACAACTCACGGCTCCCAATGTTTTTTTTATTAATATTTTTATTTTATTTTTTTGTTCTGTTTTTTTTGTTGTTGTTGTTGTTCAACTTCCTTAATTATAACTTGTTTTAGTTCTACCATTTTTCTTTGTCAAAAACATACTACTATTTCAATTTTCATCTTCTTCCAAAACACCATTACCACTATACCTTCATGAGTCATCTTTTCTCTGTTTCATATACTCAGAAATAACAAGTGTAAGTATGCATGCTACTTCTCTTCCGGGTTATTGCAACGACGACAATATTTGACAGTAAAAGAGTGGCTCTAAGCAAAGATACCTCTGCCATTACCACTAATTTGATATGTCAAATCTCTACAGAAAAAGAAAATGGTAAGCCATGGTTGTAATTTAGCAACGAGAATCAGAAAATGGTGTGATATGACAATACGTTGTATCACTGAGCCGTGTTTCTTCCCAAACGGTAAGGTGATATGACTATCCACAATCAATGGCAAACAAATTTTTTCCTTTTTATTTTCTGATAAATGGGTTGTGTAATTGTCGTATTTTGCTATGGTAAGCTTAATATACGAAGAGTAAGTACACCCTTCAAAGGAAAGTAGTACCAATTAACCATTGTATTCAAATTATATTAGTAATTTTAATTATTTTTAGTCATTAATAATATTGTCTTTTGTTCAGTCAATAGTAATTAAGTTTTACATAAAGTAGTAGGCTATTCTATTTGTCCTCTACTTCATTAAGACGAATTTTGTTCAGTCAATAGTAACCAACCTTCTTCGATCTTCACGTGGATTCGTGCGTTCGCTAAGGTCTTCAAATGAACGCACACTCATGATGATAATGAACACTAAGTGAGGCAGTCCCAAAAGCACATGATTGTGGGTTCAACATCCCATATTCATGAGAGCACGACTTGAGAGTGCAAGAGCTAGAACTTGGAGAATCCGCTTCCTTGCATCTTGAGCTTTCCAATTGCCATGAGCTTGCTCCAAAATCTTCCTCCACCTTAGTAAATCACCAATATCAAGACCCGAACCTCGTACAATACCTACAACCACGAAAATCGAGCAAATAAAGGAGAAAAGACTAGAAAAATCATAGAAATGTACAAAAGCTACAAAATAAGAGAGGAAGGGTAAGACTAAGACCAAAAGCATAAAACTAAGCATTTATTAAGCATGAAAGCTATGAAAAGAAGGTAAAAATAACCTAAATGATCATCAAATGGGTGCCATTTATGACACCCATCAACAAGACTAAGAAGTTGATGTTAGCTTAGACAACTAGGCTTGGCAAATGGGTTATTCGGGATGGG